ACCAGTTGGTTTTTGTTTCTCAGGTTTTGATTTTTCAGCTTTTGGGGTGCAGGCCTTCCAGTGTAGGGACTCTGAAATGCTCTTTTTTAAAAAAAAAAAAAAAATGCTATGGATATTTTAATACTGTGAGTGCTTTCCTTTGAAGTTGTTACTTGGCTTACTGCTGGGCTGATCGATGCAGGGTTCAACAACAAACATGATTGATTTGAGCATTTCTGCAGCTCTGTTTCAGCAGGGATATTTAGGAAGTTAGTGAGTGACAACTGGTTACAACTGGCAGGCTGGCCATGCACCAGCCACGAGAAGCTCTCTGTTACAGGGAACAGGGGTCTGCTGTGCAATCCTGGCTGAGGAGGCTTTCAAAAGTGAACTGAAAGCTGTACTGTACAGGAAATTGGGCAGGTTAAGGTGGTTGCAGTTATTGATGCCCCTATAATGAGGGGCCTGGAAAAAATGTTACACAGCAGCTGTGATGTACCTCATGCAGTGCCAATTAAATAATGTGAATGTGAAATTTCAAGCAGCTAGTACTTGGACTTAAGCAGCAGGAAGGGGACGTTTCTTACAAAGCAGGGATTAATTGCAATATCTGAGAGAATGTGGGGTGGTTGAAGTATTCCCTTGTGTAAATGGGTTCAGTAATGTTGCCTTTCATAGAAACATGGAGAATTTTGTGTCTGACAAATAATTCTGCTGGGGAACTGACTTTGAGGGACAGGCGTTGTTGAGCCAGATAACTGTGTGGCAATTTGACTTCACTGCCCCCTGATATCGTCATACAACTCTTCGGGTGTTGCTTTTATTTTCTATTTTATTACCAGTCTCTTTGTTTTGTTCTAAAATGTAGGATCAAAATAATGACTGTTATAAATGCCAAACTTTGGATTGCAGGGGTATGTGTGTCACTTCTTGGTTTGCAGTGTTCCCTTTAGTACTTACATGTCCACAAACAACTAGTGATTATTAAGTGCCTGTGGCAGGGAAAATAAAATGTCTCCAGTGGATCTAGAACTCAAGCAGTTTAATTCCAGAAAACAAATAGTGCTGGTATCTGCCTCCTCTCAACACCTCCCACCATAAGTTTTGAACTATACCTTTTAAATCGTTACCACGTTTAGTTCTCAACACAAATGTCTAAAAGTGTTAAATTTTTAGATTAATAAAAACAACTTGGAGTAATCCTCACTTGATCTTGAACTCTTTACCAAACAATTGCAATTCCCATTTAAACTTTTTCCTTTTTCTCTTGTGTTTGGGTTAAAATAATGTTATTCAAATAAGATCTGTTCAATTTAGAACAAGAGCTTAGTGATTGTTTTACTTTATTCACATTCTTGAATGTTAGTTTGCTCATATCATGTGGCTTTTTCATATTTGAATATTACAGGAGTGTTGCAAAAGTTGGAGATGCTAGGCAGAACTGTGGTTAACAATGTAATGAAATATTTCTAAGCATAGTTGTGGTTTGTTTTTTTCGGTGTGTCATTCTCAGTTGTGGAAGTGTGTGGTGTTCCTTAAGGAACCACCTTCAGTGTCAAATGAACCTCTGGGGTTCCCTTTCAGCATCAGTGCATTTGTGGAGGAATACAGTGTCTCACTGCTGCTCTAGCAGGACCCCTTTCCTTTCCTACATCAGTATGCTTTGCCCCTGAGTGCAGGGGTGGAAAGCGGAATTGCAGACAAGCTTGCGACCTAATGAGAGGTGGAATTGAAATGGTATGTCTCTTCCTCAGTGACTTTTTGGCTCTTAAAGAGAGTGACTTCTCATTTCGTAGTGTGTCACAAGAAGGTGGATTTTGTTCCTAAACTGCTGACTTGTTTTTAAAATCTTCATACTAAAATAATATGTTCCTATCCTGGTTTGACCCCAGAGGGCAACTGAGTACCATGCAGCTGCTCGCTCACCCTTTCTCCCTTAGGAATGAGAAAGAGAAAATAAAGCAAAAGGCTCCTGAATTGAAATAAGGACAGGGAGGGATGGCTCACCTGAGGCAGAAGACAGACTCATTAGGGGAAGAGAAAGAACATCAATTAAATTCAAACACTAACAACAAAAACACTTAACAGACAGAACAGGACAGTGAGAAGCATTACTACATCTCAAGAACATCTTCCTCCACCCCTACCTTTTTCCTGAGCTCTGCTTTGCTCCCAATTTCTCCCCTTCCTTTCTTCCGTCAGGGCAGGGGGGCAGGGGATGGGGGGTGCAGTCAGTCCTGCTGCTTATTCCTCCTCAGGGGAGGACTCCTCACGTTCTTCCCCTGTTTCAGGGTGGTTCCCCTCTTAGGGGAGACAGTCCTCCATGAACTTTCTCTGACATGAGTCCTTCCAACTGGCTGCAGTCCTTACTGAGCTGGCATGGATCCCTCCTGTGTGTTGCAGTCCTTCCGGCACCAAACTACGACAGTGTTTTGGTTTTTTTTTACCAGAGCCCCAGCCTTCTTCAGATGCAGCCGCCTACTCTGGTGTGGGGTCCTCCAGGGGCTGCAGGGCATCTGCTCCACTTAGTTCTGTGAGTGGTAAGGGAGAAGAGCCTGCCCTCCCACCACGGGGGATACAGAGGAGTCTCTGCTCCAGGGCACCTCCCCCCCACTCCTCCTTTCTCCACTAGCCTTGGTGTTCAGAGAGGTGTCCTCCTCACAACTCACTCCAATTCCTCCTCACAGGTTCCCCTTCTTAAATATGTTATCTCAGAGGCACAGCCACCATCTCTAATTGGCCCGGCCTTGGTGCAAAGGTGGGTCTGACTTGGAGCCGGGGGAGCTTGAGAAGCTTCTCACAGGGGCCGCTGCTGTAGCCCTTGCCTGCTACCAAAAACCACACTACACAAACCCAGCAGAGCATATCGTATCATTATGAACTGACTTGCAGATTGACTTTTACTATATATTAAAACACACTATACCTGAGAAATTTATTGTGTTGATGAGTATTGGGGAAGGACTGTTTCTGGTTTTGTTTGCCTTTAAGGTCAGTGGAAGGTTATTTGAGATAGATGCTGTCCTGTTATGCCAAAGTTTTTGGTAGAGAAGTGAAGGTACCTTGCAATTGACCTTAGAGGTGGGTGAAACTTTTCTGTTTTAAAATAAACCCTCTTTAAAAGTTATGGATTTTTTTGATTAAGGAATTTCTTTTTCCACCTTTTAGTCTTCTGAATGAATCAAGTATAATCGAATTTAAAGTTTGTTTAGTGCTTTCAAAAACAGGGGTTTTTTATTTTCTTCTCCCTGTCTTTGTTCTTCAGTGTATCTGAATGTATTTTGGGGGAAAATGAGAACCCTTGTTTTTCAGGCCTTGTTCTCCCAAAGCTAGAACAATTTTGAAGGGAGGGAAGGAGTGGACTGGCTGAGTTTTAAGGGGTGAGGGGGAGACAGGGGAGGAGAAATGTTACAGGAAGACATCAAAAAGCACTCTAGAAATCATTTCTAAACTGATACCTCCAAACTAATGCTTTGTTATATTTGAACAGTTCAACTACAAATATCACCTCTATATAAAATGACTACAAAAATGATAGATGGTCTACAGGTGTCCATAGTGTTGAGCTCACTTCAGACTTGCGTGCTTGGTGCTAAAATCTCACTTTGTGCTTGGAGAAGCAAACTGTGATGTCTCACAGGAGCAAGAAGGTCCATTGTGTTAGTAACACTCAGTTCATACATTTTGTGCATGTACTTCTTGCTTGGCCTAAAAATTGGTTGAGGTCACAGTAGGGTCATTGGCACTCCCAATGATGGCTGCTCTTTTTCTGTGAACTGCACAGGTAAGAACTCTGATTGGTCTATAACCTGCCTTTTAAGAGTAGATGTAAACTGAGGATTTTTTTTGGTAACAGTTCTGGTCTGATCAAAGAAAGAGTTGTTCTTTGCTGGGAGAAGATATGGGTGCATGATCTTCCTTATCTCTTGAGTTGCAAGGTGTGTGTCACTTCCCGCTCCAGTGAGGGGGACAAGTGACTCAGATTCGCAAATCCCCAATTGGAGCGGACAACAAGTCTCCAAATTCAAGCATTTATTAACTACCTACAATGTACTAATTGAACACATGATAATTGGCTAAGTACAGAGCAAGCTGTGGCAAGCAATATAATATGCTTTACATTTCTTAATAGAAAAAAGGAAAAGAGGGAGATAGAGGGAATGGGGGAGTACAGGTCACCGGTCTGGGTTCCTGCGCTGATCCTGCCGGCGAGGATTCCAGGAGGCAGCTATCTTCTTCGCTGGCTTTGCTTCACTGCTCTCTCCAGACGGCCGGGGGAGCAGGGAGAGGGGCAGAGAG